ATACTCTTGGCTCATAAGAATGGCACCTTAGAAAGGGGCAATTTCCACTCAGTCTCTGGTGGCATTATTTCAGGTTAATTTCTTTCACCAATAAGAAAACCTTACGTCTCTATCACCCCCACAACTGTGGCCACATTTTGTTTTCTAATGACTACAATGGGTAGCAGAAAGAAAAAGATGATTTAAAAAGCAGCCATTAAAACAGATAAATCAAGCATACAGAAGAAATATTTGGCTCATGGCAATTTAAAAAATAGCAGCTGGGATATATCAGTAGCCAGATGCTTGAGTCATGAACATTAAGATACGAAAGCCAGTCCAATATGACCAAGTGGAATAGATCATCATTGCATCTCATTCTTTATAACAAACACTCTGAGACAATAGGAAATACAAGCGATATGTAGAGTCTCAGAACATGCTGATCACTCAACATTTTCATCCATTTTTACAGGGTTTAGAACATCAGTAGTTCCCTTATTTGTACTCCCTCACCAGTCCTTATCAATCTAAGTGTATTACTTGGAATGAAAACTTTTCTTAAGTGCATTTGAAAATAGTTGTATGAAAAGAATAACCATTTGGTTTGCCTGGGAAAATATTAACCCAATGCCGAAGTTTCTCAATGGGGAAAAAGCTCAACTTTCTTCTTCCTGCCACACATGTGTCACATATGATTTCCCAAAGACCTCACTTTCAAGTTTGTTCTCCATGGCTTCATGAAGGAATGAAAACCGGTGAGCAAACAAATGAACTTAGGACATCTGGGTTAAAAATCCAAGAAAGTATGTTAACATGCAATCAATGGTCCAAACGCTCAAAATTCATGTCAGTAAATTTCAATTATACATCAAGTTTCCACTGATGAATAGGAATCGGGGCATAAAATACACCACCTTTTCATTTCCTATCAAATTTATCACACACATCACTGGCTTTTGAGACGCTGGATACTTTTACAGTTTAATTTGCAAACAGAAGTTTTATAACAAATTGTGTTAAACCAAATCCTGTTTTGAAAACTGTTTATATAGAAAACCCAGGGAATGAAGTGAACTGTTCATTGTGGAAGGCCTTAAATTACATTATTAAAGTAGAAAATGCAGGAGGTACAAGAGAACTGAAAAGAATAATGCAACATTAGATTCAAATCTATAGCTCCTGTAGCTACTTAAAACATGGTTTTAGAAATTAAACCCAACATTTCCAGTAACTATAGAAACAGTTATAATTTGCCATGAAAGCCCTTATATCATGCTTGATATAATGAGGTAGGAAAATGTAAGAACCAGGACACATGAGACATGACATTGAATCTCTCTACAACTCCTGTTTGCTTTACCGAGGGTGAAGATTCAAAATTCAGTCACCTTCTTCAGCTTCAGACTCAGATTCTCCTTAAGCATTTTGAGCCACTCCACAACTTTTTCATTTGCTCAAGGAAGACACTGTTCCCCTTTGCAACACATGCATCTTTATACCACTTCAGAATGGGCTGTTCACTCAGGACTTCAGCTTTATAAAAATGCACCACTATTTTCTGGAAGGCTTTCATGAAATGAATGTTGTCATAGTAGTACTCCTGAATCTTCAGTAACAGAGTCAGTTCTGACTGACTTTCAGTAGTGAAGGCAGCAAGCAGAGGGCTGTATTGCTTCAAGTGCTTCATGGCTTGCTCTGCTACAAACTCCTCTTTATTGTTCATTCCACAGTACTCATTACACTGGACCAGATTATTCCACTGATAAGTGGTTCTGGTATGTTGTTTTTTTTCATCTCCTCCTTGACATATAAAATTATATCCTTAAATGGATCATCATGAGACATGTGTTTCTGAAGTTCTTTCTGGAGCTCCTGATGACTCCTATGGTTTGCTGATTCTGAACATATTCTGAAAGCTCTTTCAAGCCTGCTTCAGTGAAATACTTTGTGAAGTGTTCAACACTTTGTTTATTAGCAGGAAAAAGTTCCATCAATCTGTTATCCGTGCTGACTTTCCAAAGAGTTCCAGCTACTGCATTGATATCTTCTCTTTTTCATTTATCCATGATTTAAAGAGCTTTACTTTTTAGCAAAAGCAGCTGAAACCCCTTCTTTAACCAAATCCTCATTATAAAGGCTATTAAGAACAGATGCATTGTGTTCCATTAGCCAGTCAACATAGCCAGCTTGGTCCTCTCTGACTCAGAAAAACCCTTTAAGAATAGCAGCAACTGTTTAACTTCATCTTCAAAACCTTTCTCCAGGTATTTGTAGCACCTGATTGACTTGTTAAGAACCTAAGCAAATGCTTGCATGGTCTCTAGGTCTTCTTGTACTGTGAACACACAGACATCTGTACGTATCATGTCATCATGGGGCCAGCATTCCACCAGCTGCCAGAATGTCCAAGAGTGTTTCTGCATATCAGCGGTAGTCAAGTTTTGTTCCAGAAACATTAAGAAACTTAGCTACTGCTTCTAAATCAGTACCAGTTTCATTAAGCCTTGAATAATAACAGTCTTGAAACTGAGTAGGGTCAAATCTCTCTTTTTCAAGTTTTAAAATGTTGGCCTGATAGTGTTGGCTTTTGCTGCTTATGATTATTCATAAAAGACACCTGAATTTAAGGCGACGAGAAAAGAGCCAGAAACCCTAGATGTGGCGGCAACTGCAGCTGTGTCTCCTCTGCCCCATTATCTTTTAATTCAATATTCCCATGAACTTTGTGAAGTCTCCTCATAATGCACGTGGGAAACCATCACACACACATTTAACACACGTAGCACGCATAGGAAATGAACTCATAAGGTGGTTATACATTTTGTTTGTTTTTTAAACTAACGTGTTGTTGTTGTTAACTACCGTGGAGTCGGTTTCGACTCACAGTAACCTTGCACAGTGACCTTGCATGGGAGCAGAAAGCCTCATTTCTCTCCTATGAACAGCGGTAGTTTTGAACTGCCGACCTTGACGTTAGCAGGCAGATTCGTAACCACTATGCTACCAGAGCTCCTTAAAATAACTTGTAGTGTTTAAAAATATATGACTTGGACTTTCAGAGCAAGAAGACCAGGCTTAGCTATAAC